GAATGGGTTGGCTAATTCCGCTTCCTTAAGTAACAATTATGGCTCCATTGTATTTTGAACAAATGGCGGTTAAAATACTAATATTGTTTATGCATTTGTTCCCTAAAAGCTTTTGCATCCGGTTACTGGAAGATATTCGTATTTGGCTGTCTCTGAAATCTAAAAACCATGTTTTTCATGTAATTTGCAAACCATTTCCAATGTCTCACTCCCCAACTAATATTATTCGGTTATTTTTGATGTTGTTGTTGCTGTTATTTTTTGTATACATAAGTCTTCAATCCTATTCTGTTTGTTTACCTTTGAAAGTGATATATGTATGTTCTCACACGTATGTCACCTAGGTCTGGCCAAGGAACTCAATCTGTCCGTGTGGTTACCCTCATCGCAAAACAAACTGGTTCGTGTCGCTGCCGAAAACGGATGTCCTTTATGTCAAGCACTGCTTGCTCGATCCACCTCCGATCGGCGACGTGCGCAACTGCATGTGGCATCAATGAACCAGATCACGGCGAATCAGCTAATGCAATACCGTGCGTTACCCGATATCGCCTTACCAAACCCAAGGCGATCCCTGTTTGAGGCTGTGAAACAAATCCCGAACACTCGTTCAGTTTTAGCCTGGCGTCCTACTGGCTGGTCCCATGTGCCTTGGAACCAAAAACAAGCTGGAACGAAATCCGCTCGGTTGAAAACGCCTGGAGTTCGTCTGGAGGTTTCGAACAATCAAGTGTCCATTTACGGTACGTCTGCTTGTGTATGTTACTATTCAAAAACAGCTCATTCTGATTTGTCTTATGCAAGCTCAACATATTAGTGCTGTTGAGAAATGGTCACTGATATGAAAACTGTATTCGGTTTGCACAGTAACCAACAACGAGTGTCTTTGTATGGGAAACTTAATAAATATAACCCGTATCTGATAAAACACCCCATCTCAACTGCATAAACTACCCAAGTACGATTCTAGTCCTTGCATTCACGAAATTCCGAACAGGCAACAAAACTCAGAATCGACGAAATTTTTGTTCCCCATTTATTTCAGTTCAAGAATCACTGAATCCGCCGGTAACTACCGGACTTGAAACGGACAGATTGCTGACCTTGTCAAGGTTTGAATTACCCTTCTCTTTTGCAAGTAAAAGCTGAATACCTGCGGAACGATTCCCTTCATTTTATCCAAGTGAAAAACGTTGGTAAGGGTTCAGAAATCAGACACAGTTCCCTGAACCTCAGGTTATTAAAATTCTCGATAAATCTTGCAATCTGAACTGCCTTTTTACAATGTGTATTTGCTCTGAAAGTTGCAGTCCGTTTGCACAAAAATAATATTTAATTATGTCTCCTGGGTAATGCGCTCTTGGGGATGTGGGTTTTCTAAAAAAATATGTTATTTGTTCATCATCATCATTGCACAGTTTCAGTTTTAAGCATGAATTACGGTGCAACTCTATTGGTTGCTGTCTTTTGGCTGCCTATTTTGGTGAAGAATAGCAGAAAAACGAGAGGGTTGAAAGTAGAATCGTAGAGAAAATTGAGAAATTAAGTGGACTAAAGTTGTAGAGGAATTGAGAAGATGCATGAACGCCATTATTTACGACACCCAGCCATATCATTCAGTGTTTCTAAACATCGGTT